TGCTGCTGCTGCCGCTGCTGCTGCTGCCGCTGCTGCTGCTACTGCTGCTGCTGTTGCTGCTGCTACTGCTTTTGCTGCAACTGTTGCTGCTGCTGCTACTGCTGCTGCTACTGCTGCTGCTACTACTGCTGCTACTGCTGCTGCTGCTGCTGCCGCTGCTGCTGCTGCCGCTGCTGCTGCTACTGCTGCTGCTGTTGCTGCTGCTACTGCTGCTGCTACTACTGCTGCTGCTGCTATTGCTGCTGCTGCTATTGCTGCTGCTGCCGCTACTGTTGCTACTGGTGCCGCTGCTACTGCTGCTGCTGCTACTGCTGCTGCTGCTGCCGTTACTGCTGCTACTGCTGCTGCTGCTGCCGCTGCTGCTGCTACTGCTGCCGCTGCTGCTGCTACTGCTGCTGCTGCTGCTGCCCTTGTCTGCTGAGGCTCTAATAAAGATAAAACGCAGCTACATATAGAGGAGCATTTGCTTTCTCCTTTATACGTTTGTTTGTTTGTTTATTTGTTTGTTTGTTTTTTTAGTTTATTACTTTGTTTGTTTGTTTCTCTTTTTTATTTATTTATTTATTTTTTTTTTTGTTTGTTTGTTTGCTTTTGTTTTTCTATGTAGATACAACCCACAAATTTTTTATGTTTCTTTAAGAAGAGAATAACTAAAGGCTTCTTATGCTGGCACTATATTATCCTGCAGCAGCAGCAGCAGCAGCTGCTGCTGCTGCAGCAGCAGCACCTGCAGCAGCAGCACCTGCAGCAGAAGCAGCCGCAGAAGCTGCAGCTGCTGCAGCTGCAGCAGCAGCAGTACCTGCAGCAGCAGCAGCCGCAGAAGATGCAGCTGCAGCAGCAGCAGCAGCAGCTCCTGCAGCAGCAGCAGCCGCAGAAGATCCAGTTGCTGCACCAGCAGCAGCAGCAGCACCTGCAGCAGCAACAGCCGCAGAAGCTGCAGCTGCTGCAGCAGCAGCAGCAGCACCTGCAGCAGCAGCAGCCGCAGAAGCTGCAGCTGCTGCAGCTGCAGCAGCAGCAGTACCTGCAGCAGTAGCAGCCGCAGAAGATGCAGCAGCAGCAGCAGCAGCAACAGCACCTGCAGCAGCAGCAGCCGCAGAAGATGCAGCTGCTGCACAAGCAGCAGCAGCAGTACCTGCAGCAGGAGCAGCCGCAGAAGCTGCAGCTGCAGCTGCAGCAGCAGGAGCAGCCGCAGAAGCTGAAGCAGCAGCAGCAGCAGCAGCAGCAGCAGCACCTGCAGCAGCAGCAGCCGCAGAAACTGCAGCTGCAGCAGCAGTCGCAGAAACTGCAGCTGCAGCAGCAGCAGCAGCTGCTGCTGCTGCTGCGGCAGTAGAAGCTGCTGCTGCAGGTTCTGTCTGCTTCTGTCTCTGTGTATCTCCTCTGGTGAAGGCTCTCCCTAGCAGCAGCAACAT